GCGGCGGCGGCGGCGGCGGAGGCGGCGGCGGCGGCGGCGGCTGGCGGCAGCAGGACCAGCATGCACCACCGGAACGACTCCCAGAGGCTGGGGAAAGCTGGCTGCCCGCCAGAGCCGTCGTTGCAAATGGCAAATACTAATTTCCTCTCCACCTTATCCCCCGAACACTGCAGACCTTTGGCGGGGGAATGCATGAACAAGCTCAAATGCGGCGCTGCTGAAGCAGAGATAATGAATCTCCCCGAGCGCGTGGGGACTTTTTCCGCTATCCCGGCTTTAGGGGGCATCTCATTACCTCCAGGGGTCATCGTCATGACAGCCCTTCACTCCCCCGCAGCAGCCTCAGCAGCCGTCACAGACAGTGCGTTTCAAATTGCCAATCTGGCAGACTGCCCGCAGAATCACTCCTCCTCCTCCTCGTCCTCCTCGGGGGGAGCTGGCGGAGCCAACCCGGCCAAGAAGAAGAGGAAAAGGTGTGGGGTCTGCGTGCCCTGCAAGAGGCTCATCAACTGTGGCGTCTGCAGCAGTTGCAGGAACCGCAAAACGGGACACCAGATCTGCAAATTTAGAAAATGTGAAGAGCTAAAGAAAAAACCTGGCACTTCGCTAGAGGTCAGAGGAGATGATTTCTTGTTTCCCAGTCTACCCCCCTCTCTCCTTTCTCCCCTCTCCTCTCCCCTTCAGGGCTTCTTGTCTGGCTTCAAGATGCAGTACCCCTTTCCCGAAGCTTCATTCAGGCTGTGAGATGCCATTGTAGGTGGTGTGCGGAGGGCACAGCGTCCCCACCGCCTCCCCAGCTGCACTTCCTGTGGAACCGCCCTCCAGATGGGAAGGGCGTCCCTCCTTTTTATCTCTGGGGGAAACCTAATGTAATTGGTTTGAAAAATCAGAAGTTTCACATTCAGGATGGTAAAACATTTTCCTTGGTGGTTAAAATACCCCCCTCCCCTTCTAATTATTTTTGAAAGCATCTCAGCCCAAAGGGTTGGACACATCACATTCTATATACTTTTATTGGCTAGGAGAGGCTTACTAGTGGCCCAATTATAACAGTGAGGACCCAGTTTGTGGCACACAAGCCTATGTGCCCATTGAAACACACACACACACACACACACACACATGAATCATGGAAGCTGAAATACTTGGATTCTAAAGGGGATTTTCTACCTGCTTCCAGAATAGTTTTTCTCTTCAACATGTTTCCCATTTTATTTTCTGCAGATCTAGTATTTTTTTTTTTGAGAAAATAGTATGGAAAGCTGAATGCCACCTGCAATTTTTAAAGAGATGTTGATTTAGAATAAAGGAATACAATTAGTTCATTAATGCAGGTGATCCTAATTTTATTTAAGAATTGTTTTACATAGTTTCAGAAAGAACTCAGTTACCAAAAGATACATGCTTTGGGCTCTGCATTGGACAAAGTAACCATTTTGTGGTCACAGAATTGTTCTATACACAAGCACAGTTTTGGTTGATACCTTATATGGTCTATAACAGTTTCCTTTTCTTATATGTCCTTACAAGAGACAATGTACTGATGATCACTAAAGTAAATGTTAAATTAGACGTTTAATTATGTTAAATACAAAGATTGATGTGTTTGGTGGAAACAGATCAATGGTAACTTGACCAAACAAAAAGAGCGGAAATGGAAAACCACAGGTAAATGGTTTTGGTAGTCTTTTTAGCAAAGAAATGTGGACAAATAATCATAATTGGATTCTTGATAAATTTCACAGAGTAGATGGCTAGATGATCATATGAATATGAGACCACAGGTGGTAGATTTAGCATTTGGGAGTATTCTGTGGGCTGGTTTGTAGGGTGATGGTGGCTCTCACAAGTTATCATCAGAAGGGCACCTACATGTTCTTTTAAAAAATTGTGAACACTGCTTAAAGGAGTTTTATCCACAAAGGACTGGTCTTTAAGAGAATAAAAGATAAGATTTGGAGATCTTTGTTGCAGTTTGAACACAAATAAGATACAGATTTTTCAACAAAAATTTATTAATATAAAGCAAAAAATACTTTGGGATTCCAAAAATAATCAGTATATATTGATAGCATTATTGATTGTGATCGGTTCCATCAAAATGTTGTATATATTCCTCTTTATATGAGTACTCATCTCTTTGTTGAAAGTTTGACTTTACTCCAGAGCAGTTTATTGCATGTTATTTGGCAACTCTGCTAGCGAAGATAATTACAATGATTAAAATGCAGCTCCATGTCTTTTCTTAGGCCGAAAAAATTAGTTTTTAGCTTTTTAGTTCTCTTTTCTAGATCAATTTATTGTAACTTCTCTAGGTTTCTAAGGCCCATGGGTAATGAAAATTCAGTTCATCCTGAAATTTCCTGTGAATACCTGGTTGATAACTATTACCTGTCTTTTATTTTTCCTTTTGAATTATGATAGTGTCTAGAATTGTAGATTTGGTGTTGCTAGTAGGCCTTGTCTTTAGCTAGACCGTACATGGTGCTGCCTACATACCGATTTAGGGTCTGTAGTTCATAGGACCAATGAATAATTCTGGTTCAATTAGTAAATAACCACTCTGAAGGAGCTTAATGTGAGTGCCAATAGGTTTTCTGTACTAGTTTCTATGCCGATTTATCCGTCTAAACACATTTCATAAATTTCCTTTTGATAGTTTTCCCACAACCTTGTGATACCTTAGGCATTTCAATCACATATTATTCGATAGTATTGCTTTTTCTTATTTTTTTAAAATCCAAGTGCTTAAAAGTTCTGTTGCTCTTCAGAAGGTGGGGTGCGAGTGGGAGGGGAAACACATTTCTCTCTTTGTAGAACTCTGAAGAAGTTCTCCTAGCTATATACTACTCATCCCACCAGAGAATGGGTCATGGCTCAAGGCTAAGATTATTAGTGAAATGTTCTTTGTCAAAAAGAAAGAAAAAGAAGTTGTGAGGTTTTTGGTTTGTTTGTTTAATTGACTAAGATTCTATCTAGGTCATTAATAAAAAGCAATGGTGGCATGAGTGCCTTAAACACATGTGTAACCACATAGTTAGGGTTCTAGGAAACCAGCTGGCCACATGTCAGAGCGACAGGGCTCACATGGCTGAACTGAAGCTGCAGCAGTGGTTGTGGGTTGGTGAAGAGTCCTCCTACTGGCCTGCTTCCCTCTTTCATTTGGTCCCTGTAAGTTCTCATCATCTGTGGAGACGTTTTAGAGATTGGATAGACACCCTAGCTGAGAATGGTGATTTGGGGGTTTATTATGGCTGCTACCTGTGGATTTCAGGAGTATGTTCAGTAGTTACTATTTGTTGGCTTTAAATTATGAACTCCAATAAATATGTGGATCTAATCATTACTTATATTCTTATTTATCCCTTCAAACCTCCTGTGCAATTCTTATATTTGACTTATTCTCATCCCAAAGATTGGAGGCATACTCAGATTTTCTGGGTGAGTGAACTGAAATGAAGATACACTCACATGGTTGTTTTAGGATTCTTACCCACATTTTTTAAAGCCTCCCACCTAGCATTCTTTTCAAAAACTGCTTTATTTATTTCCACATTTTCTGCCTAGTCTCAGGTTAAGAGCATCTTAATGCCTCAGAAATAGGCCTATTAAATCACTCCCTTAATATATTTCACATGATAACAATGCACACAAGACTAATTTAATTTTTCTATGATATTGTGCACTATATATTTGCACATAACACCATTCATTTAGTCAGTTACTATATTTAAAAATCATCCATCATTAATTATTTAAAGCAGTTATTACAGATGCTGTATCCCCTTTATGTGACAAAATGTGTTAAAAACTTGGATCCTAAATGATCCACAGTCCCAGATACTTTAAGAAACATGTGATTTTATATTATGATAAGTTGCATAATAGCACTTTGTGTCATACAAAGGTAATCTTTCAGTTTTTGTATTCACAGCAGTTCTGTTTCTGACACTAACTTTTTAAAAATATCCCAACCTGATATGTATAGCTCAAGGGATAAAATTGTCCCATGGGCAGCCCCAGCCTCTTAGGCCCTGAACATTGTTCAGGTGACATGATTGATCTCTGTGGGACAGCATTAGAGACCACACAGATCTGGTTTCTCTCCCATTAGCTGATTTATGGAATTACATTAGTAAGCAGGGCCTCAGGAGATTCCCCTGCCCCCACTCCTGGCTCTGCTGTGAGTTACACACACATACTCACTACCCAGGCTTCCCTTGTGTTGGTGGAGGGACTTGAAAGGGACACATTAGAATGAAGAGACTGGGGAACTGGACAGTCAGGAAAAAGGACAATTCCATTCTCCTTCTTTCTTCTCTTTAAAATTTATCTGCTGAATGCGCAGGCCAACAATAACTTTCCATAAGTTAGGTTGAACTTCTAACGGGTTTGGTGGAAAACATCCATATATTGCCCCCAACTTGATAACTGAGAGTGTTTTTTTGGGGGGGGGGTAGGACACATTTCGTATGTAGGCTGTTTTAAGAGCCCCAACCACATAAATGGCAATTGGAAAATTCTGGAGCAAGCATTGTCTGCAGTTTGAACAGGAAGATGGCACCTACTTCCTGGAGAAATTCATCTGATGATCATAGTAAAAGAAGTGTGTCACTCACACTCAGAGTCTGTGTAGTTAAATAAAAGAATTGGTAATTGAACATGCCATAAGTTTTTGAAGTTTGGTGACTTAAACATTTTTATAGGTAAAATATAGGTTTTATATCTTAAATGGAAACATCTAGTTGTTTGTCATTTAGAGGAGGTTTCAATGTTCAGTTTAAAGAATCAAAAACATACCTGCATGAAAATATAAATTTGTGCTTTAATCTCAAAATGCAAATATATAACTATCAAAGAGAAAGGAAAACTTTTCAATATATTCAAACAAAATAATAGTAGAGTAACACTAGAATGTAATAAAGAAATAAGACACTGAATTTCATATAGGATAAGAAAAAAGCACAGAAAAGGTTAGCTTGGACTAAAGTAACAAAATAAATATAGTTGTAGCCAAGGTATGACTGTAATACAACTTCAATGAAATTCTCTTCCCATCACCAGGTTTAATATAAAGTAGTCAAAGTTGTTTTTAAAGAACCATACATTTTTGATAATTGCTAAATGAAAATAATACCTCCACCTATCCAAATATGTAAATTATAAGCAATCTTTTGAATGTTAATTAAGAATAGTAAAATAAAAGCACTTAAAATCCATTTCTAAATGATCCTATAAGAATGTTTGTTTGAAATTCAGTCATCACCAGACAAAATGCAATCAGAAAGCCAATCAGAACAATAAGCAACAACAAACTGTAGACTTTAATCAGATAAAAACATTTGGATATTTTAAATAAGAATGGAAATTGTATCTTAAGATGAGGGAAATAAAAGTTTCTTGATTTTTAAACATTTTTATGAGTAGATTACTCTATTGCTGCATATTTTGCTTAGTCTTAGCTAACTGTTTTCCTGGATGAAAAGTTAAAAGTTCTATATAGTCAAACTTACAGACTGGTAAATACAGGACAATTAATAAAAATAGTCTGTAAGACTAAATATTGAAAAGTGTCCAAAAGAACGGGCATTTCATCCATGTTTTCTGTGGTT